CCCGTCTCGATAAAGTTCCGCTGATCCATTGAGAGATGCAGAAATGGCCCCTTTTTTTCCTTCTGGACATAAATGTAAATTTACTAAGCGCATCGTTAAGCTCTCCTATTTCTTGTTGTGGGTACGATTAGAGCAGGGTGCATGGGTTAATATTTTCTTGTAAATACTGGCAACTCAATTCTGTAGTTCGTTTACCAATGCGAACAATTTTGCACAACTCAAGAGCAAAAATGGTTATTTTCAAATGTTAATAACCCTGTTTTGTTGGAACTTTTATTCACATTACACTATTTAGGATTAAAAGGTGTTGAAGGGATTCCAGAGTTCAAGAAAACGTGCGCATATTATACTTCTCCCGGATACCATACGCCCTCTTCTCTCTATTATACAGGTGTTACTGTTCATAAACGAAATAAATCGAACCAAACAGTGAAACTCGTACCTTTGCCACATTTTTAGGTGTATTGTGTATGTCATCTTCATAGGCTTTATTCTTACCAGAAATTTAAGGAAAACATTTGGAGCCATTTTCGATCAAATTTTGAATATGACCTAGGAGCTTCATTTGATGTACTCCCAAAATTTAAAGAAAAGTTTTCAAAATCGCAGGGCTTTTGAGTCGGGCTAGATCGGTCAGGGAATATTGTATTTTAAGAAAATGCTACAAATAGACCAGGCGCTGTTGTGCAAACACGAACAGACGATCGAAAAAAGCACTTCTTCGGTGTCAAGGGACCGCAAAACGTACATTTCCGTTGAAATCTCGAAATTGATTTTCCGTAGCAGTACTTTCCCTATGCTACATGTATTACTCCGTTTATACGTATGTACATATACGAGAAAGTAATAAAAAACAAACAGCACCCTTATGAAATTGAACACCATAAAATTAGAACTCAAAGCAAATGTTACATGGAGTAATAATACACATTGTGTTTTCAAATTAGTGCTTCCGTTTCACAAAATTTGCCAATAGACTATTAGTTCTCGCTATAGATCCATATCAACATTGTTTATCGTGCGAGAGTCGTCAGAGGAAGAAACATTCGTAACTCCTAAACCTCAGCACGTATAAAATTAGATTTTCTGACTTGTGATTTGCCTGAAGTACTAGTGTATCATCTGTAACACACTGGCGTCGGGTAATATGAACCCGACCATTCTGATCAAGAAAATAATGTAGTTTGTATGATTATGTATGGGTCTGCACCGCCACAGACATATTTCACTGTCTCAATCACTCTCTTAGCTTTAGAATTCTCATATGTTCTCCTCAACGGTACACAAGATTCGAATGGAAGTAGACGAACTCGTTCTATCTCGCGACGAAGGAGATTTCGCACCAAATCGTGTGATTCATGCCAGATGAATTTTCACCACTGACTGTAGTTTCATTGGGTTAAGATGTATCTTGTACAGAACAATCGTTTTCAGGGTAATATAGGGTTCAAAATGTTCCCCATGTGGATAGTTCGATCGAAGAACATACTCCGCATTTACCTGAATGTCAGAAAGTTGTTCTGCTGGGGATTTTCTACTACTAAGTATGTATCGTCATTGACTAGCAAGCTTCTTTAAATTCAAGGTAGATCTCATATCAGGGTTCTGCTCTCTCCACATCTTGTTAACTATTTCTTAGCCCGTTTCTCGCTTTTGCGTAGTAAAAGAACCACAATCTCAAGTTCATTCCGGGTCCACCTCTGACCATGGCTTCGATATACTGTCGACTCTGGGTCCATGAGACTAATATGCATGGGATGTCCAAATGTCGACAAGGTGACATTAGCTCGGTTTCTGAGCAGGCATGGGACATTTGTAGAACAAAGAGCACGTTTAGCGCAATCATTAGATTTCTTGTTTTATCCATTTTTTTCATTGATTTTAAGTAAAGTTTATCAAGAAACAAGTTCGGGTTTACAGATCACACTTAACCCACGAGTTATTTCCTGTTAACCATTACTCTGCAACCTACAGTGACTTCGGTACTTTTCCCCACAGGACCCAGCAAGTCACTCCGACTGCCGGTCGGCATTACTACACCCTACGGTATTTTCATTGACTGCTGAAGGCAGCTTCCTTTACTGACTAATGGAAGGTTTGGCCCTCCACTCTCAGCAGTGGCCTGTTGTTCCAACATATTTTATCTGCTGAACCCTCCATGGACCGATAACCGGAAGTCCAAAGGTGCATGACCCTTCCGTCTCTACTTACTTCCTGCTATGAATGCAGCCGCTCCTAATACGGAGACACGCTGGTCCCAGCCGTCCGCTGGGGATCAGCGGCTGCTGTTGAATTCGAGTTGCCGCTTCTGCCATCTTTGTCAATCCTCTTTTCGTTCTTCGGAGGCTTCGTTGGGGCTATCCTCTGGAGTACTTAGCGTGACCTCTCTTATATTCAGCAAGGTGGTCTTACCAGTAGCTAGGCTACCGCCGATATAGCTCTCACGGGGGTATTCAAGCTCCACCACCAACTACAAGTTCGTGTAATTCCTAAGTGGAGTTATTATTATTACATGTTCCGAAAAAAACCACGCCTTCGACCCTCCTCCTCTCCACAAAAAAATGTACCACACAAGGGGCCTCCTCATTCACTCGTAATTTCACCGTTCTTTATATAAAAAAGGTACGTGTTTAAAGTATTTTTCCTTAATGAAATCGGCTCTTTGAAGACATCTTGAAATAAGATCATGTTCAATTTTTTGAAAATACGAGTACTTTACGTGAAATTTTGCGCGAAATAAGCAATTTTAAATGTTTTAACATTTTTGTCCGCAAAAACAGCTCCAATTTATTGTTTAAATTTTCTCCCGATATGTATCAAGGGATAGTAAAAATTTGGCGCTTGTACCATTTTCAGCGAACTCTATTTTTGAAAATAGCAAAAAGTTAACATTTCAAAACTACAAAATTGAAGATACAGATTTTTCCTTTGATAAAATATGTTGTAAAATTCAGCACTTTAAAAACTGTCTTGTACTATGTCTTGAAAAAGCCAGTAATTTTCGTGTAATTTGTGTCTGAAATTTGCACATTTTCTAGTTTTTTTTTTTCAAAAACCCTCCATTTTTTTCTTCATTCTTTCGACGAATGGGGAAAGAGACTCTCAAGAGAATGACGTGGGTCTCATTTTCGTTGAAGTCAAAACAATACATTGGATCAGCCGACAAAGAAAAGAATTAAGATAATCCAAACAAAAAGAAACACTTTTTCATGACAAAACCCAACAAAAGGTGAAAGCACAGGAGAAAACAAATCCTGCGGAGAAAAATGGGGATAGCTGGGATTGTCAAATTTGCAGTGAGGAGGCAGTTCAGGGCATGAGGGCATGCGTCGATGGAATGTGTGGGTGATGTGTACGTGAAGAAACTGTAGGTCTAACTATTAAAGACAAACTTTCATTTTTTCTCAATGTGAAACTGATTAAAATATTCTTTTGTAAGTTTTCAAGCAATTACTGATTTTTTCAAATTTGTGTAATCAAGTCTCATTCTAGAAAATATTGACTTTATTATGAGTAACCCAGCAAACCTTAAGTTACTGAAATCATGTCTTTGTAACATTAGACTGTAAGAAGGTAATTTATGTTATATATTAGTATAGCTATCCCTAGTTCCATGGTCATGCTACAAGAAACCGGTTAATCTGACAATGGCAATAAAACCTGTATGTGAGCATATCACCTTCACATTACAATGTTTTTGTAAAACAACAAAACATTCCTGAATCACTTTTTTGTGTAATAACTATTTCAACTAGAAGCCAAAGTGTGAAATTTCATCACGAGGCTGTTAATTTGGCCAATTTTTGAAATATTTAAATAGGATAATTTGGGGCGCTGAACGTGGCCATATTACCTTCGCATATCTTAGATCAAATCTATCTACATGTAAGTCTCCAAAATGGAGCAATATTCATTCGTTGATAATTAATGACATTCCATAGTTTCGAAAGGAAATATGTATTACATTTATTAATTAATGATTTTTCCATACACATTCCATTCTGTGTAGTAAATGTAGCAATAATACGAAGTCAATAAGTATCTGCACTTTTGTTCTTATCGTCGGTAGGTTGACTGAACAGCATTGGGCACTTACCAGCCTAAGACGAGAGCGCGAGCGAGCCAATTAACATTCTGAACTGTCGGGAAATGCTGTCCTGCAGATACGAAAATGATCCCTCAAGTGCTGACTTGAGTGAACAGCTGTCCCATATGAACACGGAGCTTTCTCACTGATACTGAAGCTCTCAATAGTCATTTCAACTCGCTCACTCAGTTTCTCAACATCTCATTGGCCTGCCCCTCGATATCATGCTGAAAATCTAATTTACTCCGTCTTGACCACTCTCCGTGCTATTACAGAGGGGATGGTGTTTGAAATGCTTTTAGTGTTCTAAATTTAACCACTAAGTCAGAGGTGATGTTTGCGATTCACTGTATTTTTCATTAGTAGATTCATGACGGCAACAAATTCTCGTAAATGCACGAGATCTAAGAGAAAATGGAACTTCAAGCAGTTACAATGACTAGAAATAACAATAAATTGTAATGAAAAATCTTAACAATCGTTTCACAAATGGTATATTTTATCTGCATTAAATAACAGTTATATTAATAATACATTTTTTAACATTTGTACAATAAAACTAATTTGTAAATGTTGCTAGTGACAAAAATAAGTTTTGAAGTAAATTAAAAAAATGTATAAAAGGAATATTAACAGTAATTTTCTACTTTTCAATATTTTTCAAAAAATGAATATTCTTACACAACACTGTAAATAATTCTAATTTTAATTACAAGAAAACAGAACTCGTAAACAAAGTATTTCGTGACAGCATATGGCAAAATAAAATTGGCATTATTTTCGCCGACTGCTAGAGACAATGGTAAATATTCCTTGTAAATTTCTAGCACAATGCCAGTTGTAACTTAAATTGCATTTTCTTCGTGATTTTCTTTAATATCAAACATCAGATTTTCAGACAAGAAAATCTTACCTGCCATTTCCCTGTCGAAAGAGTGCTAGAATTTCTTCGAATGTTTTATTCTTGGTCTCTGGCACTTTCTTGTACGTAAAAATCCAAAAGATTGCAAGGAACAAGCTGAAGGGAAGAAATGTGTAGTTTTCCAGGGCAGTCTGAAAAACAACAATAGAAAAGACATGAGAATTCATCACCCTCATTCATAAATACTAGATACAAAGAGATTCACTTAAATCGAGATATCAAATTATCTCTAGTCGATTGATTGCATGCAATGTCTCGGGATGTGGCGGAGTGCCGTGTTCACTAGAAAGCGACATCTGATTCCAACTCATACGTCAACTAACGAGGTTTCCTACCTCCGAGTACTTCCCCAGGCGGGGTACCGCCCCAACTCCCGGCTGGTCTTCCCACACGTGCGAGAGTGTAGTGCATGAAAGGGTAAGTGAATACTGTGTGTGTGTAAGGGGAAAGAATGGGATAAATTGAAGGAAAGATCATGCTCGGTCCGTGGCCCTTTTCTTAAGAAACTGCTGCAGCATTCCCCTGGTGTTATCGGAGAAACCACAGAAAACTAGCGATCAATGCAACAAGTGCCTTCGTGCGTGCGTATGTGCTTTGTCGTTTAAAAGGATCATCATTTTTTTTATCGTCAATTTTGCAGATTTTTAAAATTTCTAATATGGCACAGTAATAAATTTAAAAAAGTATCATTTGCGAGCAGCCAAGCCTTATTTCACAACAAATGTTCAATAAATAATATTATTAAATATCACTAAATATGGCACAGTAATAAATAAAAAATAAGTTTCCTTAAGTATCATTTGGAAACAACCAAGCTTGTCACAACAAATCTCCAATAAAAAATATTACTTTCCCTTAAACGTTTTAATGACTTAAACCTCAGACGCTAAGAATGTATATTTTGTACCCGGTCCATGATGTACCCGTTTAGAACTCCGTGAAGCATATGATTGTATCTCTCTGTGTCTTTTTAGGAATGGATACGGTATTTTTTACAAATTGTGTTGTGGCGTTGATCCGGTAGATCAAATGATTCGCCAGTACTCTTAAAGTATAATAATTAGAAAGTGGCCTCTGTTCTTTTACTATAACATTCGTACTTGACATCGCATCAATGCATCCTTACGCTTTGTGGCCGTGTGCTAAGAACGAAGATAAGAACTAACGGACGTTTTTGCTCAAGTTCGTTGAGTCATTGATATCACATCTTATTCAATGGCGAGCAACTCAAAATACTAAATTTGCCAATTCATGTTAGATGTTAGCAGGTACATTTTTCAACTGATGGTTGGCGTTTGTTAGAACGGACAGCAGTGGCGACACAGCATGGCCGTTCTGTTTGGTCATACCTATACTTGTCCAGAGGCCGAGTTTATCTTTCTCAATATCGAAAGGTGCTTCGTGTTTAAATGCTCACAACTACGTTCGTTTTCTGATTTTTTAAAAGAAATATCCCCGACTTCTATAAGGCAATATTGAAAATAATATTCCATTAGAAATCTCGGTTTGGCCGCAACACTCAATTCAATAGATGTGAATTGAAATAATTATTTTAAAACTCCCTTCTTATTCAATTATCAACTGATCATTCATTATTTTTTCTTCTGTAAGAAAACGCACAGCTTCCCCGCAAACAATTCAATGTGGGGTTACAATCGCCGTCATTTCAACATTTCAGACAACGAAAGATATCTCGGGGGACGCGGGGAGCATAGTATCCAAACAACCACGAGCCGAATTCGTCACTCATGAGACGCTGGCCACTTGCTGTGTGCTAGTTGTGCTACAACGGAACATACTTTGTCGTATCACTGCTAAATTTGAAATTCTCAAAATTTAAGAGTTCAACAAAAATTTTAACTGCACCATTCTTTTAAGCGGTCCTTGTTCCCTCCGTTAAAAAAACAAATCGAGCCGTTTTTGAGGAACTATTCTCGTTTTTTCAAAGAAAATTGGACCTTTCTAAAGAGCTGATTTTTTTAAAGCAGGTTTTTCTTAAGACAAAATCATATTATCTTCAATTTTTTGTTTTAAAATGTTAACATTTTGCAATTTTCAAAAATACAGATTTCACCGCGTAAGAGACTAGCACACCTTTTTTACAGTCCTTTCATACATACGAAAGGAAAATATCAAGAAAAATTTTTAGCTGTTTTTGAGAAAATATTATTTTTTTAAATTGTATTTTTAAATTGTAATTTAAAAATTTTAAATTGCTAAAATGAGTAATCTGCACGCAAAATTGCAGTGCAGACTACTCATATTATCGAAAAACTGTACATTATATTATTTCAACATCCGTCATTCAACAATACACTTCATTAACAAAAACATCTATATCTTCAATATTGTAGCTGTAGGAAGACGCACAAAACAATTTTGAACTTTTGCAATTTTCGAAAAATCATGGATTTCAACGAAAATGAGACGTGCACCATTGTTTTAAGCAATATTTTCTCTAGATACTATATAGATTTTCTTCACGATACTATATAATATTTTCTGACGACAAAGTTTAATCAAAAAATTTGAGCTATTTTTGAGAAAACGTTAAAGCTTCATACAAAGACCCCCCCACCCCAAAGTAAAAAATTAAGTTTCAAACTTTTGCGGCCTCGAGTTCATTTAAATCGATCGGGGAATATCAATTTTAGAGAAAATCGGCTGAACGGTTTGGGCGCTAGCATTGCCTCATCATTCATTACTCATCACCTCATAATTCATTATTCAAGGTTAAACAGCCTCGTCTTTCCAAGGGATACAGCCGAAGAGCTAATCCCCATAATGACACGTTAATCCCTCTCCGGGATAGAAAACGTCTGGGCCTCGGATGAGAACGTGTAGCATGGTCAGAAATGACCCATACGCAAATAATAATATTAATAATAATAACAATAATAATAACAATAATAACAATAACAACAATAATAATAACAATAACAATAATAATAATAATAATAATAATAATAATAATAATAATAATAATAAACCGAGCGAAGTGGCTCAGTGCGTAGCGCGCTGACTTCGCAGTCGGGAAGACCGGGTTCGATCCCACAATTGAGCTATACGATTGTGGGATTATTAAATTAACACTAAGTTCACACATTTTTCAAACAAGTTCATATTAGTGTTCTTTTGTTGGTTCGTAATTTTTCTCATTCTTCTCGGTTTCGTACAGTTCGGGTCCACAGAGCACCTACTTTCTTCATTTCGTCTGCCCGTCTTGTTCTAGGTCTTCCTGCCTGCCGTTTGCCGATCCTCGGATTCCAGGCCGTTTTAATGTGAACCCAGCGGTCACGTCTCATCCTTACTAGATGCGCCGCCCACCTCCTCTTCAGTATTTCGGCACAGTGTACTGCATCTTTTATTTCAATTTTTCTTCTGATTTCCGATTTCTTTCGTGGTATTTTAGCGATATTCCCAATATTTTCCTTTCCAGTTCCTTGGAGTTACTAGTAATTATTTCTTCTGTTGCCCGGTGTTGGCATTGACCGGCAAATTAATTCAAATTTGGTGCCTCGCTTCGAACAGCTCAGTTTCGCTGCTCTTTGAAGGCGTTTTAGAAGCAAAGATCATACATTTCAAATTTACCGCCGAGGAGATTTTGCTCTAAAAAAGCCGCGCGAGCTCTTTCCCAGTTGACCAAATACTCGCCAAAAGATTGCACCACCTCCTGGGCGGCCGCCACGAAAAATTTACCCATTGCCCATTTCTCGGAATCCAACTTTTTCCCACATCAGACGCGACGAGCTCGCATTGTCGTGAAAATCAGAGGAGCCGCGGGCACGTTCGTAGCCATCCTCGTGAGGAAAACGTTTATTTCCGTCTGGACGGAGGTAACCATGATAATCCCTTCAATATTCATTGATTCTTTCGGCGAAGTAATAATCTTTGTCAATGATGTGCCGTTTCATTTCCAGAACTCTCTCGTTTGATGAAAATATAGAAGGCGATGTTCGTTGCAGTTTCTGCTAAAGCTCTCCTAATATTTCTAAGTAATATTTTGCAGCCTCAACACTCAATTATTGACCATGCCTCACCGCCATAAATGAGAACAAGGAGAACATAACGGTCAAGGAGATCTTTTTTTGATGTGTTTTTCCATTAGTATAAAATTCAGAATCCAAAACTTTGTCCAAGCTTGTGATATTCTTCTATTAACTTCTTTGATTTTACTGCTTTTGAATGAAATAGTGTGTCATAAATATTCCTACTTCTGTACACAATTGATTCCTGGACCTACTTTTACTGGAATTTCATTACTATTTGTCATTAATTTTGTTTTGTTTACTTTCATGAGTAATCCTGCTTCCTCACATTTAGCTTGTAGCACCTTCAAAATAAATTCGAGTTCTGCCGTTCACTGTGAGAACAGTACTACGTCATCTGCAAATTTTTAATTTCACAATTTTGTACTATATTTATACCTCGGTTTTACCACTTCCGTTTCTTAAAGATGTCGTCGAGAATATAAGTGAACAGTTTTAGGAATATCGGCCTATTTTTAGGTATTACATTCGTAAGGGCGAGAAAATTAAAAAAGAAACTTTCAGTGATGAAGAGATACTTGAAAAAGCAATAGCCAGTACAGCCGACTGTCTTGGATGGTCATAAAGATAAATATGCACCAACGTCTCCCATTAAAGGACTTCACTTGTCACGCAAATCTATTGCTAGAGGAGTTAAAAAGAATTCTAATAATTTGGAATGCCAATTACATCAGGACTAACAATAATGTGAATGTTTCACTCCAGTATGATGAAAAAAGTGATATTTCAGATTTTGTACAGTTGTTTTTATTTATTAGAATGGCTTTTGTGGACTTCACGGTAAAGGAAGGAATAGGAAAACTACTGCCATTAAACGAACGCACTAGGAGAGAAGTAATATTTACCACTTTCTTTAAATTTGCCAAAGATAGTGTCGTATTTGTTTGTTGCTGTGTATACAGACTACCCATTAATGATTGTCAGGAATAATGGATTTCTTTCTACTTGTGGTAGGGATGGATCATTTCCAAAATTGATTTCATATCGCTACATTATCCACGAGAAAGCTTTATGTGCGACAGCTTTGAAGGTCAACCATGTAATGGAAGTTGTAACTCAGGTCGTAAATTTTACAACATCGC